ATGCACACCGATAAGATAGGAGAGAACCTCACCTTGACCATTCCAAACGAGCATGCCCAAGCTTGCATGTTTCCTCGACAAAACTCTCTCTCAAAATAAGCTTTCGCCCCACTTTATATATAAAGCACCAACCACAACCCATGTGGTCAATGGTAAGCTTTGCCTAGCTTTCCTATAGGCATTCCCATACTCTATCTTAGTTGGACAAACACGACCACTACATGCCTCTTCAACACTAATCGTTTTTTCGTTTTGGTATCTTTTTGTGTGTGAAATTTTCCTTTTGATATCTACTATTGCACCAACCTTAAGATTCTAGAGTGACGATAAATAGTTATTCTGAAGCATTACCCAATCCCATGCGACTTCATTGCACAAGTGTCATGTATGCCATAATAATTGAGGGAACCATGCACCCCCACCCCGCCCCCTCCTTTGAAATAAGTATAGTAACATAAAAAGGCACTCTCGAAGAAGGAAAATAATAGGAAAATAGATAAGTAAATCGTATCTTATTATATATATGACTCTTAGGGTGTCCTCAGTATGTGAAAAAAACTGGGTCTCAAGGGAAAAAAATCCCTAAGATTAACATACAAACATTGTGAGAAGGTGTATTAAGCCAATTTTGCAAAGACTATGCATTTGTGCTATATATGGCCAATCCGCGGAAGAATGTAATATGCTATATACATTGTAGGGTCATCTTTTTACTCAAAGGAGAGTTCCTCTATTCGATGTATAAGCCCATCTTAAGATCCAAACGAGGTCTTATACATTGTAGAACTTTTGATTTCCTATATCACACGAGGTCGGTAGACCTTAAGGCCAACTTACAAGGAATACAGACATACATGGGCCATTATCCTAAACCGAGGCAAGTGGTTCTCTCACTTAAACATATGAAACAGTAGCCCACTACATGTAAATCTAGATGCAACACTTACAGTTTACGAGAATAACGAGTACTTGAAGAATTATGTCTTATATTTGATGCATCATGCATATGATACGCCTTTCATACATATATTGAGACCTTATGTGTACCATTCGGCATAATGTTATGACACATACTACATGTGATCATTTTAGCTAATTTTATTGTTTGTCATCATTATTACCTTCATCTTGTATATGTAGAAAACTAGAACCAACACAAAAGTGTACTTTACTCTGCTTCGTGAATGTATTTTTTCTTACGTGTAAGACTAGACGAAATGTATATATGCCAATGTTTTTAATATAACAATCAGTATTGTTAATCTTGTTCACGTTACTAGCATGGTCCAACATAGAACATGATTTCAGATTATATCTTTTATTTATAAAAGGAGTTAAAATCCTCAAAGTATGCTAATGAACTAGGGAACTGGAAAACCATGTAGGCAAGCCAAACTTTGCTAGCTGAAACTATAGCACTAGTAGAAAAGAGGGCTTTGGTCCACCCCGGGTTAGCCCATTAGTCCTGGTTCAGTCTAGAACCGGGACTAATGGGGGCATTAGTCCTGGTTCGTGCGCCCAGGGGCCACATGGGCCATTTATCCCGGTTCGTCTGGACCTTTTAGTCCCGGTTGGTGCCACGAACCGGGACTAAAGGGTGCGATGCCCATTAGTCCCGGTTCGTGGCATCAACCGGGACTAAAGGGTTAGACCTTTAGTCCCGGTTTGTGCCACGAACCGGTACTAATGGGGTTTGAGGCATTAGTACCGGTTCATGGCACGAACCGGTACTAAAGGTCCCATTTTCAAACTCCACCCCCCCTGTGGATCGCCTTTTCAGTTTAAAAAAATGATGAGTTGGTCAAAAAATAAAAAGAAAATAAGTTTCCCATTTGTCATATGGTCTAGTTGTTGGAAAAATTTACAAATATGAATTTCGACTTTATTTGCAAAATCTCTCTAGAATTTAGTAAAATGGGCATAACTTTTGCATACGAACTCGGATGAAAAAGTTTTTTATATGAAAAATCATCTACTCGAAAAGTTACATCCAAATTTAATTGGGGGAACCCCGTTAAACATTTTCAAAATCCTCAAAAACCTAACAGAAAAAAGTTACGGGGCTTTTAAGATCTAGAGTGGAAAAAATCGAAAAAAATTCAAACTGTGGTCAAACTAATTATTCTAGAATATTAGTGTTACTAAATAATTATTTCAGTTATTTTGAATTCTGGTCAAACTGTGGTCAAACTGTGGTCAAACAATGGTCAAACAATGGTCAAACTAATTATTCAAGAAACATTAGTGTTACTAAATAATTATTGTTTTTTAAAACAATAGTTTCAAACTCAAACAGTGAAATGTGTCACTTCATGCTCAAGCAAAATTCCTGAGGGTTAATAGGATTGACATCTTACTATTGTCAGGAAAACAACAAGTGCAGACTTGGAAACGAGGGAGAATAGAACCCGGAAGTTAAGCGTGCTCAGGCTGGGGGAGTGGGAGGATGGGTGACCGTTCGGGAAGTTAGATGATTTAGAATGATGAGGGGTGATTAGAGATTAGAGGATAAATTGAGCAGTGATGAGGGGTGGTGATTAGAGATTAGAGATTAAAATAATTCAGAAATTTGAAAATAAAAAAAATCAAAACAAAATCAAAACAAAAAATCAAGGTGGAGCTCCACGTGGCCGCGACCTTTAGTCCCGGTTCGTGTTAGAACCGGGACTAAAGGGGGGAGGCATTAGTCCCGACCCTTTAGTCCCGGTTCATTAAACCGGGACTAAAGGCCCTTACGAACCGGGACTGATGCCCCTTTTTCTACTAGTGTTATAACTATGTTTGTTCGAAGCTATGACGTTAATTAAAGATCATATCAATGCACTGAACAATTTGGATTGTGACATGGAAGAAATATAAGCTCTTTAATTCAAATCGTATATTTGCATGACCTCGGTAACTTGGGGTCGAAATTAGCTCCACAAAGTTGATTTCGTCGGTACTGAGAAATTCTCCTCGTGGCCACTTGTTACCGAGAAACTTCTGGAAAAGAACAAATAAAATTTGTTTTAGTCCTTGCCATACTTTTCCGCAATAAGAAAAGTCAAAAGAAACCCGGTGTGTATTATCCTTAGTTTGTATAACATATTTAGTTTCAACAAAGCATATATCGTGGTTGTGCTTAGGGAGAACAAAGAACGATGTGGTTCTGATTATGGTTGGTTTACAATCAATAATGTTCTTTTATTGTGGAATGCCCTTTTTTGGCAGGGACGAAATGCCCTTCTTTTTTGTGAATGGACGCGTGATGTTCTTTTTGAGAAAAGCAAATATACATGCAAGGTGGGATCTTGAGTTTCGAGTGTATGTACTAGTTCTTCAAGACTATAGAAAAGTTAATAGATTGTATCATGTGAGAACATATTGTTCTACAAAAATGCATGTGGAAATATGGTCAAATACACCATGTAAAAGAACAAGTGTTTTTTAGAATGGATAGTTGCTTAGATTATAATCCGAATATCTCATACTATTAAATTAGTGAGAAAATTATGCCAACAAAGTGACAACTGGCATGATGACCAAGTCTTGAAATGTCTCAAAGGATGTTACCACGGGTACATACAAACTAATAAACACCACGGAATATTAAATTTATAGAAGTGTTATCGCCTAGTCAACCTCTGTACTATAACATGGTAGAATAAATAGTGTTGTAGTTTTCTAGAATAAACATAGTATTTTAAGTTTCATTGGATTACCCACAAGAAAACAAATGGAACTTTCCTAGAAGGTAAGGCCCTTGGCACTTTTTCGTAAACAAATAGGGCGAGGAACAGAGGTTGCAACTACAGAGTCAACCCCAAACATGCTGGCCGAGGATAGAGAACTTACCATCCGAGAAAACCATGGTTCACAAGTTTCTACTCCCTTCGTCTCAAAATTGAGACACTTACCTTGGGACGGAGCGAGTACCTTCTGGGGACATGTCAAAACTATAATTTATCAAAGGACAAGTGCATACGGTTTTCACACCTTCGTGGTGATTTCTCTTCTTCCTCAAAAATACATAGCAACTGATCACACAATTTCATCATTATGAATCAAGATCTATGCGAAAAGATAACTACAAAGTTGACCTAAACTTAGGTCTATCCTCTTTAAACTTTAGGAATTTTTCATGAGGTCTAATTTAATATTAGGAATTCACAGGAATAATGTCAATATGGACACAATTTCCTTACTTTCCCTATTCCGTTGATTTAAATACCCTATAAACCGAATGAGTCCTGAATAATTCACAAAATGAGACCGGACACTCGGTTACATATTCTCGTAGTATTCTGTCAACATCGTATTGATGATTTGTATTCACAAGACGTCAAGACCAAAGCAGCCTATAGCCTAGGAAACCCGCGTGGATGGGTACTGCATGAGCAGCGCAACGCGTTACCGACGACGGCACTTTGCAGAAAGAAACAGGAGGCAAGTCGGCAGCAAAGTCGTCACTAAGACGACTTTGTCCTCTGGTGACGAGCTCGCATTTCAAGTTGTTGCCCTCCAGCTCCAGGTAAGCCAAGCAGCCAATCTGCCGATGCATGTGTAGCATCTCATCCAGCTCGCTAGATATTCTCCGATCAATCAACGTATTGAAATTCAAAGATGCCATCGTCATGCACTCCAATCAGTACGATATGCAATCGTGTACTAGTATCTTTATGCACCGTCAGAATGATACGAACCTCTGAAGTTCGATCGTTGGCATATAGTTACACCAAAGGAAGAGAACGTCATGCATGCACGCCGATCAGTACAGTACTCGGTAGGAAATGAACCTCTGAAATTGAATCATTTGGTATTTACACCAAAGAAAGAGAACGTTGTTACACCAAACCCAATTCATGTACACGTTCACCGTAAACACGCGACAAATCAACCAACGGCCCTGCACACGTATACGCTCCGTCGCCTCTCGCGTTTTTTTACACACACAAAGAACAATTAAATCTGTAAACTTGCACGCAGGATCATGACGAAATCGCGCTGGAAACTTGCGTGCTCTAGCACATGGGCAGATCAGCCGGCGGCGGAGGCAGCATGGAGTCGGCCGTCGTCCCGTTCTCCACCGCGAACACCATCCCGAGCCCCATCGGAACGTGCGCGTCCAGGTGGCAGTGGAAGAACCACATGCCTACACGCGTCAAAGCCCAAACATCAAATTATTAACACTGTTAAAATCAAGGCCCATATAGTTTGGGCCGAAATAGGGAGAAACGTATGTATGGAAAGCACGGTAACGGTACCTGGGTTGTTGGCGACGAAGCGGATGACGGCCCAGCCTCCGGCGGGCACGGCGATGGTGTTGCGGGCCACGGGGTCGACCAGGTTGTAGGCGCTGGTGTTGCCCGGGGCGAAGGTGCCGAGCCCCTGCGCCAGAACGAAGAAGTTGAAGCCGTGGAGGTGGATCGGGTGGCTCTCCGACGGGAAGGCCATAGGGTTCTGCAGCACGATCTCCACCGTGGAGTTGTAGGGCAGGCTCCTCACCTTGGTGCCCTCCACCATGGCCGTGCCGTTGGGTGGCACGCCGTCGGGGAAGTCGGCGGTGTACACCCCGGACGCGTTGCCGAACTGCGCCTCCAGGAGCGACATCTGCGTGGGCAGGCGGAACGAGACCCCGTTCATCGCCGCTGCGAAGGCGTTCACGGAGCAGTTGGTCTGGGCCGCGTCGCACGGCAGCTGGCCCAGCCCCAGCTGGATGGTCATGTTCACGTCCACCGGCGACGGCACGGCCGCGGGCAGGCCCCGCAGCCCGAAGTAGAAGTCGTTGGCCGTCGTCGAGTCCGAGTTGTTCGGCATAGTGGGCATGGCGGGCGTCGCCGTGGCCGACGTGCCGTTGTAGAGCAGGATGCCCGTGGCGACGGAGCCGCCGTCGGAGGCGTCCGTGGTGGCCGCGGGCGACAGCGTGTGGTGCGGCTCCACCGCCATGTAGTAGCTCCCCGGCGCGGCGCCCGTATAGACGAGCGCGTCCACGGTGTTCCCCGGCGCCAGCACCAGCGTGTCCGTGGTGTAGTTGGCCGTGTAGCAGGCGTCCACGGCCACCACCGTGAAGTTGTGGCCGGCCACCTTGAAGAAGAGGTGCGTGTTGAGCGCGGCGTTGATCACCCGGAGCAGCACCGTCGTGTTGGGCTGCACCACCGCCGTGAACGTCTCATCTACGGAACCAAATTAATGATGTCACACATCACCATCAGCTGTAAATTTCACCTGAAGTTACAGAATTCACCGTCTGACGCGTTACATACTTGCGCACTGGTAGAGCTGGCCGGTGAGGCCGTTAACGGTGAAGGCGTCGGAGTGGCTGGGCAGCTGGCCGGCCATGACGGCGTCCTTCTCGACGTCGACGACATTCTGGCTCCACCACTCGCCTGTCCCAAACCTCATCCACAACCAGGATATGCCAAATTAAAACCTCCCCATCCATCCATCAATATACTATCGAGCAATGGACAGGAATGGTATATGCGTGTTGATTGATGATTATACCAAGTACGACGGGGACCTCTTGGTCCGGCGCCGGGAAGGGGTAGGCGGTGCCGTTCCGGGGGCGGATGATGAGGGGGCCGTACACGGTGGCGCGCAGGAAGGAGGAGTGCGCGTGCCACCACAGCGTGCCCTCGTGCCCCGTCACGTTGAACCGGTACGTGTAGGAGCCGTTGGGCTGGATCGGGCACTGCGTCACCATGCTCGGCCCGTCCGCCCATGGCGTCAGCTTCTGGAGTATGCCGTGCCTGCCGCCAAAGATCAGTTAATTTTTTCAGTTAAATTTGAATCCCTAGCACCACAAATCATAACAGATGGCGGCAGAGTCAAGTGCCGACCACTGAAACTTAGTGCCGACCTCAGTTGTCTTTGCCAGAGGAAAAAAGACAGCGTGAAAGACAGAAACAAATATGTTATCCTAAAAATATATATGTTTGAATGGGTAGCCGGTAAGTTTAGCTGTTTTTTGTGTGATCCTTTTGGCTACGTTTTGTTGTAAACGTGTACTGTAATGACGAGACTTGGTCGTCTGAACACTGCGGTGTGCACACTTGGAGGGTGTTAAGATGAGGTCACCTACAGTTAACGGCGGTGCCTCGGAAGGTAGGGTGTCATTTTCAGAACCTTCCCTTTCGGCTTAGAGATATGGGCACACGGCCACACGGGTGCTAAGATAGTCAGACAAACTAATCTTCTGAGAAACTAAACTGCCTGTCAGGCTGACACCTCAACAGTCCTGCGAACTAGCTAGATGACAGCTTGATTCAAAAAACAAGAGGCTAGATGACAGCGGGTACCCCACGCCGCCGTTGGAACGGTTGCAGACGGCTCTATGTTTTTCGAAGAACAGAGTTTCAGACATTGAAAGTTTTCTGTAGCTGGGGTATAAGGATTTTACCAGTGGATGGTTAAGTTGTACGGCGACGCGTTGATCACATCGACGACCACCTCATCGCCCTCGAACACGTCTATCGTCGGGCCTGGCAGCTGGCCGTTCACCGCAATGATGTCAGTGCTGTTGCACAGCTGGTTAATTTTCATGCTCTGCACCTGGTGGCAGCATTACAGAGGAACAAAGACGTCAGACAAGGGCTTGTAGGACTGTATACACGATTCCGAAGTACAAGTAGAGATTTTTGTGGCATATACATGAAAAATAGGTATAGAACTGTCCTGCATGACTATCAACTCTCCTACAGAACTATCAACTTTATCTACATTTTCAGGTCTATCTCTGTTTTCTGAACATATAGGTTGACTCTGAATTCTAGATAGCCACTGTAAGTCAAGCATGTAAGTTGCCGCTAGCCGGCGTATGTGAGCATATACATATGGGCATGGCGAAGTTGCTCTAGTTCACTTATTGCGAAAAGCTTCTATCTATGAACTTCAGATGAACTGAATGAATAAAACTCTTATGCATGGACGGAGAGAAGGTAAAGAGAAGTACTGTGAACGTGTAATTGGCAGTCGCCGCGTCTGCCACCGAGCTGGCCAGAAGAAGAACCCCGAGCGCCAGCCACAAAAGCTGCGCCATGGAAGAAGAGGAAGGCCGAGGTTGAAGACGATTCACCAGCGGTGGTGTCAGAGAGAGGGAAAGGCAAATCTTTCTTTGGCGATCCTGACCGGGCAACTTGTATTGCTCAAAGTCTTCCAAGAAACACGATAGGTATATATACTATAGGGATGCTTTTGGCGCTCCTCCGGGAGGAATCACTTGCGTAGCTCAGTCCGACTGGCATATTTGCCCCCTCTTTTCCCATTTAAATTTGCGCGACCGCGACGTAAAGCTTCTGGCGATGTCGCGCGCTCACACGCTCGTAATCTAGGTGTTGATGACCCGGATTGTTTTATGCGGCCCGGTGGGTCTGATGGGGAGGTTTTTATGCCACTCGGCTTGTCGACAGTCCTCTGAATAATTAGCTCGTTTCGTGGATAGGTTTGATTTGCAGTGCCGAAATCAATCCTGGTCTATATCCGAGGAGCACCGTCGAATCATCTTTCTCGGCTGGCATATGGCGACACGTCGGCGAAAAATGCCGTTTTCATCGGATGCAATCAGGAGTTTTACTTTTGGACACAGGATATATTGTTTTCTGACGAACTATCATGTTAACGTGACAACATAGCTAAATAACTGGATGGGAGAAATTTCTGCATTCCAAAATGGACTAATCACATGTCTCAGAGTGTCCCTGCTGATCCCTCGTTTGGGTCAATGAAAGCATCTCTCAAAGCTGAGGTGTAGTAGCGTACAAGCGCGAGTATCCCATCCGCACCTGAACTAGCAGCCTGGCCAGTGAGGGCTTTGAAGTTGTTGTCATGTGCACAATAATTTGGTCCGACACTCAATTATCTATGCCAGAAGGCGGTTTGGTCCCAAATGGCTAAATCCAGAGAGCACTTGCATTGATACACATTCCGTCGGATACGCTTAACACGTCAACAGCGGACAAAAATGGAGGATTATGCCCACAAGTTATACCTTTCCGAACAAACAAAATCTCCTGTTGGGCTGCAGGGACGCCCAACCCAAATTGGAAGCACGCATAACCGAACAACGGTCGTCCAACCGTGTAGATAAGCAAGCGGCACATCCAGCATAAGATGACACCCGAGGGGAAAGGGACCCAAAGATCATCATGTGGCGCGTTTTGGAGGGCAAACCATCATGTGGCGGGTTGATCGCCCAAGTCTATCTTGACGGGATAACGCGCTGATGTACATGCATAGGGGCAGGAACTCATGGGGAACGTACAGATAGTGTTTATCTTGTGGAGACCTAGCTAGGTTTTTCGTTTTTTGCATGTACGCCGGGCCGGGCCGGGAGCATCCGGGGTCCCAGCCGAAGAGCCGTTTTGATTCTGGAGGCGTGGACGCGACGGGGACTGCCTACCTACTGGGAAGGCTATCCGCAGTGTCAGCAAGGTCGGCGTTGCCTGGACCAGCGGGAAGGAAGATCGTCTGATGTTGGTTTACAGACCACAGGAGCAGCAGTGTTGGGCGATTGCTTCTGGCAAAGTCCCAAAACATGTGACACAATAGTCTAGGGATAGAACATGGTTCATAGGACACATATAGATACACTGATTCGATCATCCCCAACTTGATTTGCCCAAGAATGTGCATTTGATTGTGTTTTAGTTAGTTTTTTTTTTGTCTTTTTCGCAGGATGGGAAGATGGCGTGTTAGTTAACGCAGTTAGTAGAGCTGTTTAACAGGGATATCAATTATTCTATGTTTGATTTAGTGTTGTTATATTATTATTATTAGGAAGTCACCCTATTGCGCCACCAAAGCACACGACAACAATTGAAGAAGATTGGGCATAAATATGTAAATCTTTCAACATACATACACACATGCATACATACATACACATTTTTGTAAATTTTAACCCTGATACCGTCATGCATAAACGACTTTTCATTATACCACGTGACCGCTCTTTTTCCCAGTCGAGAAGTAACCCGTAATTTATATTGAAAGTGTTAGATAATCATCTTCATGTGGGCATTGAGGGGGTGATTTGTGACCCTATTTGGGCAACAAGCGCCAAGAGCTCACAAGCCATTTGGTTTACTTTGGACTTTCCAAATAGTGTAGTTTGGATTGTATATGCACAAATGGGGATGTTTGAGCCTCCCAATCAACAACGAGTAAGGAGAGACAAGACTTCAAGTCCATCCGAGAAGAATGAAGAGAATTCTAATATACCGAGAGAAAAGAGAAGAAAGACCGAACAAATAAGCTTGCTATCAAGCAAACTGAATTCGTCCTCAACGTTCTGAGGTTCACATATACCTACTTGTCGCTTTCGAGATATTATGCCACTATCATTTGTGACATTGTTCATCATTCGCTTTTGCTACCATGTTGTTGTGCAAATCGACCAAACCTTGATGCATATGAACCTCTAGTTTTACCCAGAGATTAACTTGTTGTGCCACGCTTTTGATATTAAGTAAAAGAAGATCTAGATTGTTTCACCCATATGTATTTCATCAATTTATGGGCTTTCCACATTACAATATTGTGTCTCATGTGTTTGATGTTATTGTTGCAGTAATCATATCTTACTCTAGCATAATCTATAAGTCTATGGATAGAATAAGGTCATATAGGCACAAGAGCAGTAATGTTCAACACTTGCCTGTGGGGAAATTGCGAAACATGTGGTGAAATAGTCTATGGATAGAATATGGTCATAGGACATATGTAGATACAATGATTTGGACATTCCTGACTCAAATAGCCTGCTTTCTTTAGGAAATATTGGTGTTATCGTGTTAGTTAATACAATTTCTACTACGAGGGGGAGTTGGTGGTCGTACGTCCATTGATGAAGCCTCACATCCTCCATGTTATGCATTAGCTCAATCAAATCAAATAAAATCTTTTGTGGCGCCCCGATTAGTGGTTGTATGGTAATTGCATGAACTTAGTCAAATCAAAACATTTTTGCTATATGACGGACAATCAAATCAAATAAAATCTTTCATATGACCTCAATCAAATCAAATCATTTCCTGAATTAAAATATGGCATAAGTAAGGTATATGTAGGACACGATTGGTATTGAACCACTATAATATATGCAGCCTTGTTGCAACACACGAGCAATTGGCTAGTTAGTATAATTATGTAGATAATAGGAGTGCCAAATCTAAGACTAGTTGTCTGAGCGTAGAGGAGAAAGGAAAGTGACTAAAACGGGAGCTAGTTCTTCACAAACATTTCAACAAACAATGTGTGTGCATGTAGAAAATATGAATCATATTATAAAATCGACAAGCACCAAGCTATCCAATGTTCATCACAATAATATACTTGCAAGAGTAGCTCACTACAATATCAATGCCCCAACATAACAACATGCATCCAATGTCAAATCAATAAAATTGTACTAGACTTGAGCAATAGGTACCAATAACAAGCAAGCACTTGAGCAACAACCAATATATCAAGAGAAACACCAAATCAGGGGGAGAAACAAGGATTTACGTGGAAACCCCTTGGATGGGAAGACCACAGACGAAGGAGAGCAATATTCCACTATAGAGATGAATCTAGTACAAGTTAGAAGCCAACAAGAAAGGGAGGCTCCAAATCGCCAATTTTAGCACTCAAATTTTGGTGGATTTGTAAGTCAAGTGGCCTTACTCTCTCCCTACTGCAGAACTCTCTCAATAATAGAAAATACTCAACCATGTGTCTATTCCAGAACTAGGAGAGAGGCATAAATAAAAAAACTTTACATAAAAGCATCTCCAACTTTGTAACTGTGCCAAATAGGCCATATTTTAGTCCATAACATGTCTATGTGTTGTTTTGCATGTTAGAATGGCCAAAATGGCTTCTAAATGGTGAAATAAGAGGTGCACATTATCACAATTCTCCACCTCAGCGATGATTGAACCATAGAACAAGCACATCAAGCTTCTTAATGCCAAAAACCCAATCTCCAAAAGAGTTATTTCCACATGAACAAATCAACAAGTGACATACTCATTGCCTCCAGTGCTCCACACGAGAGTTAGCTCGGGCATGTATGGATACTCACCAAGTCCAAGCAATGCTCAAACTTCGCCTTAGGTACATTCTTGGTTAACATATTAGCTGAATTATCTTTTGTGCCAATCTTCTCAATATACAAAGTCCTGTCTTTCTTATCATGCATAATGAATAAGTTGAGCATATATGTATGATTGTTTATTTTCTGGAAATTTTCATCTTTTAAAAGCTGAATCACACTTTGATTATCAAAAGACATAACTGGATCAACTTGCTCAATACTCAACACCAAGAAAACCATGCATCCAAATGACTTCCTTCATTGCCTCTATCACTGACATGAACGCAACTTCTATGGTTGATAAATTAGCTACTTACTACACCTGACACGCTTGTATGTCATGCCTCCAATGTTAACATAATAAAGGATACCAAACTTGAGCAACATGTGCTAATAGAAAGCGAGCGCTTGAGCAGCAACCAATATGTCAAGAGAAACACTAAATCAACGGGAGACAGATTTGCAGCGAAAAAACCACAAGCGGCGACAAGCAATATTTTGCTATAGAGTTGAATCAAGTACAAGGTGGAAGCCAACGATCAAGGGAGGCTCCAAATCCCCAATTTTACCACTCGGATTTGGGTGGATTTGTAGATTCAGTGGCCTCGCTTCTCTCCCTACTCTAGAACTCTCTCAAGAACATACGAATTCTTTCAATTCCCGAGCTAGGTGAGTGACGTGGTGCTACACTAGGTGTCGCCCGCCAAAAGGCATTACAAATAATGGGTGGTTCCCAGGGATTAGCAAGTTGCGATATCGTCACAGGCCTATGGTTGAAGATGGGAACCAACTAGCGGAGTACTAGGATGACTTGGCGCACAAGTTGCCAACTCCTCCAACCGACCTAAGCTAAGTCAATTGGAATCCTTGTAACCCTAGGTCTCATCATCCTTTATAAGGGTGAAACCAAAGGGTAGCTAAGGGATTGATACAACAATCACTCTCTCTGTAGTCATTGTAAC